TGAGTGACTGGCGCCGTAGCATGGTGGGTAAGGCCGCCACTTTCAGTGCCTGCATCCCATATGGACGCTGGTTTGAGTCCCAGCAGCTCCACTTCCCATCCAGCTCTCTGCTGTAGCCTAGGAAAGCAGTAGAAGATGGCCCAAGTCCTTGGGCCCCTGCACCCACGTGGGAGACCTGGAAGAAGCTCCTGGCTCCTGGCTTCGGATAGGCCCAGCTCCAGACTTTGTGGCCATCTGGGGAGTGAACCAGAGGATGGAAGACCTCTCTCTCCCTATCTCTCTATCTCTATCTCTCTGCCTCTCTGTAACTCTGCCTTTCAAATAAATAAATCTTTTTTAAAAATCAATGAAAATGGAATTAAAAATAAGTTTATTTTGGTGTAAAGAAATTTTGAAATCCATGCATAGTTTTTCACAATATGCATTTTCTGTGAACTTTCTGAAAACCCCTCCATGTATTAATTATTATAACACCTGCAACAATTTATTTATACAGGTTACTCTCATCACTTTCCAAACCTGAGTACCTGTGTGTCCTTGTTGCATGCATTTTACAATTTCTATATTTTAAAAAAAGGTCATTGGTTCCAAAATGTTCCTTTACATTTTGATAAATAAATGTGCTGAAAGTCATCTGTGGGGAATATTCACCTCACATCATAAGTTGCGCGCAAAGCGTTTTCATGCCCTGTAGCAGAGCTTTTTCTTCAATGCCCACTCTGTTTTAGTTGCTTCCAAGTCCCAGTCTGGGATCCGCAGGTCGTGGGACAGGGATAAAGCGTGGTGGGGATCAGGCTACAGTTCTCAATGCTCTCGGGATAAGATTTCTTATGAAAACTGGCAGCTTTTTTGTTCTTCCTCAGCCTTTTTAACACACAGCCAGGTCTCTCTGCTTAGCTGCGCCCGCTGTGGCTGTGACTGTCCTGGGATAAATTTATGCTGCTGACAACTCCTATTGAAGTGTCTCTGTGGCAAGTGGGCAGGAGTTGTGTGTGTGTGGAGGCTCGCAGGCCTGGCCCCAATGTGTGTAATAGCATATCTGCCTTGGGGATTATGGATGTGATATGGGCAACGCGTAATGGATAGGGCAGTGTGTGTACAAATTTCAAATGACTCGCTACACCCCTTTAGGATGGCTGCTGTCAAAAGTATTAGCACATTACACACACAACAACCATGTCTCATGTTACTGGTGGCCCCTGCTCCTCCAGCCCAACTCCTCCCACCCCTTCTAGCAGGTAACCGCTTCAGGGCTACCTACTGAACACACACAAAGGAGAAAGGTGAGTTTTATTCTAGGAACTCCACTGTATTGCACTAGAAGGAGGAAACTACAGAGCTGCGCGTGTTCAAATTAACATGGATGACAAGAAAAGATATCCGACAGGTTCAGATTTCCAACCGGATGAGATCCCTGGGTCATGTTGTGATTCACAGTCAAAGGGAGCAAAATGCAGATGGACTCCCGCGTCAGGAGCTTGATGGGTGGTGTTAGTGGAAAGAGAGGAAAATGCAAACCTTTCACATGGTGCACGATGCGTGAAACATTTATACTATTTTTTTAGTATATTTTTTCAATCTGCCTGTGGCGTAGGAATCTACCCAGTTTTAAACAAAATGAAGATCTAAGAAACAAGCTTTCTTTGGTGAAGCCCTTTTTAATGCCAGAAATGGACAGCCTCCCCACTCAGACTGTGCAAGCAACACTAAGTGGGATGCTCTCTCCCTCTGAGTGAGCAGTGGGCTTCAGGGAGTGGTTTTTCTCATCTTGCACGCCAAATGCAGGCACGATAAATTAGCATCAATGAAGACACTGGTGCCATCGTCATTCACCAAATGATTAGTGGCAAAATAACCATGCTGGACTTGGTGAGAGGCTGAATGTGCACAGCTTCTCTTCCTGTGGTCAAGACCTCTCTTCTCCAATAATATTGAAAACCCATTAGCAATGGAAACCATAGCATTGGCTGCGTTGTCTGCTTATACCCAGTGTCTAGAACACTGTGGAAACTTTCAATATGTTAGCCCCAGATATAGTCCCGGCACAGTGCCAGCCTCTGGAAATACAACTATACAGAAAACTCCATGTCCTTCCTTAGGGCTCTTCTCTAAGTTCATTTTTGTCTATATTATGGTAAACAGTGCATACTATGTACCAAGTACTAGTCTTCTAATTCATCTGATCATCAAAATAACCATATGTGATAATTACAGTTTTATCCCCACTTTATAGATGAGGAAACTGAGGCATGGACAAATTAAAATCAAATGATAGCTGGTAAAATGACAGTCGCAGGAATTAAATGGAGGCAGATCTACTTCCAGAGACCCCTGCCATTAACCATTACAAATGAGCTAACTGAAAGGATAAATATGCAGTCATTTTCAACATAATCACTAGTGACACCAGAAAACCCAAGAATGCCTGGTGTCACCAATGCTCGATTCAATAACTGGACAAAACTGTATAAAAAGATAGGGAAAGCGTGCCAGAAAACTTATAAAAGAACAAAGGATGAGAGAGACAGACTCCAAACGCTACCAAAAAGCCAAAGCAAAATGAAATTTAATGGGGATAAATATGAGACATTCTGAAAGGCGATAAATCCCCTGTATAAGCCCCAGATGATTGAGACCTGACTCCAGGGTTTGTGCTCTTCCTGGTACAGGGCTGGTACTAAGCCAGTGGCATGACCTGGCAGGCAGTCACTGTCTACTCCGGTCATGTCACTTCTCATATTTTATTTCTTTCAAGAGGCTTCTTAAGAGACACTCGCAAACCAAGGCAACTCGGGAGAGCAAAACCTCTTGTGTCCATGCCATACAGAGGCTTTGGGCAAATGGGCAATAAAACAAAGCAGTGGATGAAGAGCAAGTATCTGAAGGGCTGTCAGAGGTAAAGGGACAGGAGTCAGTCACGATGCCTCTGAACACAGAGTCTAACCCAATGGAATCTTGGGTTGGGTTTTTGTTCCTATGCATGGAACAAAGCCTTCTGAGAGCAACGCTACCCACTCACCAGCTCGGGCCAGTGAGCCCTTCTCTACTCTCTCTCTCCACTCCCTGCCCACCTGGCCACCTCTACCCAGACCTTCACACATTTATGTTGCCTGCACTGACTCTGCAAACCCTGCACCTTGCTCAGGCTGCCTCTGCTTCATGCTGCCCCTCTCCACAACCTCAACAAGGACCTCCAACCTTCCTTCCAAGGGCAGGAGTCCATCACTTCTAGATTCCTCAGAAAAGCTATGAATTTAAAAAAAATGTAAAGACCAAGTACCTCTGTTTAATAAATGAAGATATGCCAGAGGGCTGAGTCACCAGCCAGAATTAGAGACAAACATCTCTCCTCTCACCCCTGGATTCCTGCTCACACGTGAATAACTATCACACAACCAACCTTAGCCTTGCTACACAGCAACTTAGTCTAACCTTATTCTAGAAAATTGGTCTGGTCCCCAGTGGCCACTATATCATTTAGCTGAGAGCTTACTATCATTTCTAAGTTAATTTGTGAGTTAATTGTAAGTGTCAGGAAGCTCTGACATTGCAGAAAATGGTAAATTGTTGAGATAAACCAGGGTCAGAAAAATCCAAAATTGAATAAAGTTGGGATTTTGGCCAGCTTTTTTTTTTTATCAGAAAAATATGTTATGGTGGAATGGCACCACAAATGCGCTGCCTCCGCAGAGAGCCCTGCACTGTGCCTGCTGGTTGACTGGATAAAAAGCACTCTCACACGCCACGGTTCCCAGACACTCCCCAGTCACAGCTTCAGTTCTGTTTTCTGCTAAATGGCTCTCCAACTGACAAGACTTCAAAAAGAAGAATTCAGGCCCTGCCTGTGGTTATTTCCAATTTGATGGCCCAGAGGTGCTATTTAGTGCGGTTAAATCTCTAAACTCTGAACACATGCATTATGGCTACAGGTAAAATGAGGACTTGTCTTTTCAACACACTGCATCTGGCAGAGAACAGATACCTCTCATTTCTTCTCCTGGCTATTTGACCTCTGTGGTTATTTTGCTCCTGGCAAGGTCAAGCCCTTAACATCAGGATGATGTTAAAAGACAGACGAATATTTACAAAAAATTCTGGAATTATCAGAGTTACATAAAGTGGGTAGGAGCAGTCACCTACATCTCAAATGATCCAAACCTTTATCAACTCTGAGATTTGGCCAAACATTACAGATGCCTCTTTATTGTTCATAGTACCTGTGTTTGTCACAATGTACGCTCAAATCGTTCTCGGCATCACAGTTTTCATGGACATAGCTTCACCGTCCACCGTTTGTTGCTGACTAACCCACAATGTATTGGAACATGGAGTTAAATTGAAGTGCTGTGGTCATTTAGTAGAAGACAGCGGGGGGCCCTCACTTTCTAACATATTTTGCAAAAATCATTTTTGAGGAGTGCGGAGCTGAAAAAGTCCATCATGACACATCACATCCATCCACGAGGCCCTTGCAAAGCAGCAGGACCTGAAGCTCCATGCGGGGCAGCCTCATGTTAAACATCTTACCTGGAAGACAGATTTCAGTTTCCCATCCACTGAAGCTTTAGGGCGAGTCAGCAGAGGGCTTTCCTACCTGCTTTTTTCTTTACGCAGCCACACGGGTCAGGAGAGACGTCAGTGTAAGGCTGAAATTTCTGTAATTTACAATCTCCAGTTTGTGGAGCAGAGTTGAAGGGCTCTTGGCTGTGGAGTGTAAACAGACATTGCCTCCTAATCTGGGTAATTGGTCCCAAATGCTGTTGCCACTTTTCAGATCGATGCTTTACATACCTTTCAAAGAATCTGGATCTTTTCTCCATGGGCAGGGAAAAGTTTGGAGTGTAATTCAGTCTTTTCATCAGCACTCAGACTCCCATAAACAGGCAGGTGATTTCACTTGGGGGCCGTGGACCTGGGAGGCTTGGGGCCTCCCTCGAGAGCCCCCCTCCGTTTTCCCGGGTCCCTCCCACTTCCGTGGTGACTGATGACTGTTTGCTTACCTTGCATAGTTTCTGAGAAAGCTGAGCAGACAGGACCACCTCCTCAAGGCAGGTCAGGAGGATTTCAGAACAGGGCGCTGTCTCATGCCAGCACAGTATGTTCTTGTCGATATGATTCTTGAGGGTGATGCACAGTCGTGAACTTGGCCTGATACCAGTTGACTTGTGACATCATCTTCTGAGCAAAATCATGGAGAAGTGCAAGGGAAGGCAACGTGACGTTCTGGGAAGGCATCAGGTTTAGGAAGGACTCAGGGACTCTGGCTCTCTGACCCTGGCCAAGTGCCACACCCTTCCTGTGCCTCTGTAAAGGAGATAAGATGTACTTTGCAAATGCTTCATGACCATTAAATGAGACAGCATAGATAGAGGTTATGGGAGCACTCCATAGGTCAGTATGACTGAGACTTTTAAACCGTATTGTTTTAGCCTATCTTTCTGCTTCAGCCCACACAAGGCAAGGAACAGAATTTTCTTTTGAAGTGAAATCTCTGGCTTGGGCTTCAGTATATCCAAAACAGAGTACAGCTTTCTTTGTGGGTCTTGCGAGACAATGGCCAACTCTTACCGTTTCCTTCATTTATTTTTCTCTGGGACCTTCCCCTCCGCCTCTGCCTCTTCCCAACCTCCCTCATGACACTGTTAGGCCCTCAGTTCTTTTCTAAGTATTTCTGTTAACTCTTGCTTGCCAAGTTCTGCTTTCTCCGTTCTTCAGATCTCTCCTCCCACGTCAAACTCTTGCCCTGTCGTTTTTACACTCTCTTTCTTTGAATGCCGTTCATTCTAGCTCTACCTGGGCAACAGTAAGGCATCCCATGTATAATTTAACTTTCCAACTGGAAGCTTAGAAAGATTTACAGGAGATTTGAGAAATCAGCTCCCTTCCCACCTTTGGCATAAGAAGACTCGACAAGAAAAGGCTTTCTCTGTTTTGTTTTTTCCCATTAAATTTACTGCTGTGCTCAGCTGTTTAAAAAATGGGGGAGTCTCTTTGTCATTCATGGTCTGTAGCAGTTTATTTTCCAAACAAAACTGTAAATGTATTTTCTCTAGAGATGCAGTCTGGATGGTGTTGTATGTAAGTACGGAAATTCCAGAACCAGACATCTTGGGGTTCAAATGACTTTTACAAGTGATGTAACCTTGAGCGAGGTTTGTACACACTTTGTGCCTAGTCTCTGCCATCTACAAAATGGAAATAATGGGGTTTTCCTGATAATGCTATGATGAACCAAACTGAGTTAATACACATAAAGTGCTTAGCACAGGGCCTGATCATAGTAAGCACCCTAGAAACGTTAGTAACATTCAAACAAACTCTCATGTTTAAGAAATCCTATGTGTATTTAATAATCCAAAGACTGCCAGTTTCCCCTCTTGGTCTGTCACATGTGGTCATTCTTTCATGTATATCATCGAAAATTTACTTCATATGCTGTTCTCTCCCACTTCAGAACTTTGCAGGAAATAAGAAATAAAATCAGATAAAACAGCGCTGCCAAAAGCACCCTCTGGTTCTCTCCCCACCACCAACCCATCATGTATTCATCGTAAGCTAAAGCGGGATAAAAGTTTCATTATGGAGCCAAGAGGCAGCCTTGGTCCACCCTAACGTTAGTGATCCTGGGTTAAGTTCAGGGAAACCTGGTGTGAACTTTAGGTGAACCTCCTTTCCCCTTCTCAAGTGCCACGTGAGGATTTATAGCTTCAGGTGGACACCAAATGAGATGTGTTGAGCGCCTCTGAGCTCTACTTTGAGTTTATCATTTGAATGAACTCAAATTTCATGCCACCTAAACTAGGTCAAAATTGAGACATGCTGTCCGGTATGTGAGCAAAAGAGCAAATGTTGCAGAATTGCATGTGTTCCTTTGTCTCAATAATAAACTATTAAAAGGAAAATCATTTTTGTAAAAAGTAATCCACTGGGTAAGCTGTTTTTTGCAGATTCTTCTCCCTTACTCACTATTGCATGTGTTTGCTATGAAATTACAAATTGACCAGGCGATAATTAGCAAAATTATCAATTTCTGTCAACACCTAAAGATCTGTGTTTCATCATCTTTTATCCCTGGCTCAGTTAAACTCTGTGACTTTAAAATTGAATTTGTATAATTTTAAGCTTTCTCCATTTTTGCATTTCATCCCCCAGAAGTCAGAAGCCCAGACTTTAAGCCAGCTAATTTCCTCAAATTATATGCTAGAGGTTTAGGAAGATTTAAGGATAGATCTTCTATGTCAAAATGATAGTTTCACAGTCCGTGATTGATGATCTTGTACATATAAATGATAGATGCCTATTAGATAAAGGGACCTTCCAGGATGAGAAGATTAGGCAAAAGTGAGCTTAGATAAATTTCTAAATCCTCCGTTTGCAGAGACATGGGCCACACACTTCCAGTTTCTGCTTTATTACAAGACAAAATACTGTTAAACAATTTATATATGAAGATCATTGTATCGATGAGCTCTGAAAAGATTATTTGCCTAACAGTTCATTTGTCACTCAAATAGTTAAATGGAAGCATTGCAGCTACATTACACTGAATATCTGCTTTTCAATTTAAACAGTCATCCTGGGATAACTTTTTCATAACAAATGCAAACTATATAAAACCTCCCCTAAATACCACTGATTTCTTTCCATAAATTAGCCACATCTCATGCTATTTAAAAAATTAAAACCTTGAAAAGACAAATAAGTCAAGGGCTTTTTCTTCTTCCAATTTGTAATTCCCAAACTACTGCTCATAAAAATAAACTTTACAACATCTCTGAGAATCCCAAAGAACCCCGGTCAAGATTTGTTGGCTAGAAAAGAAAGCAGTTTTAATATTCAAAAATTTGGCTTCCCTTGGTCAATCCCCAAAAGAGAAAAATCAGCTAATCTTAGCAAGATGGTAAATTCAAGTGAGTCTGTAATCTCAGTCCTTAATCATGTTTTAAAATATGATCAAACAGTAGGAACTGGGAATAGACACAGAAAGTTTCAAAAATAACTCAGAAAAGTTGAGCATTTCTTTAAGAAGCTTTTCTGTTTCAAATTAAAGTAGCATTTTTCTGAAAAATCACAGCAAATTTTGCTAGCATGTTCCACTTGATGGCAACAACAAAAATGGATATTTTATGTACTTGATGACCAGAACCACAGTACTAAATATGGGAGTTTTGTTGGTCAAGTATTCCAGATCTCATCCTAGAGAGCAAGATAGCTAAATATGGGACCTATTGGTTCACAAGCAGTAACTCTCATCAACATCCAACTCTTCCCATGTGTGTGCACGTGCACACACACACATACATACACACACACACACACAAAAGCATATATACACAAAAAATATACATGAAGTCTGACCAAGCTCTCAAGTCTGGTTCCTTGATAACTTGGACATATTGTAAGCCCTGGAGAGAATTGTAATCGACACGGTTGGAAAACGGGCCCTTTTAAATATGCTGCATACAATTTGTGATGGTCATCTCTGAAATGCTGCTCCATTATCCTCTTCCATTTGGAATGAATGAGGCTAATTAATTTCAGGCCATACTTGATGAGGTCAGCACCATACGAGGGGTGCGTGCTAGACATTGCTAATCTCTTTCAGCTGAGAGTGATGAATTAAAGATGAAGCATGCCTTTGCAGACCTAATTTAGAATGTATATCAAAAAACCTACAGCAAATAATACTATACCCTACAACAAAGGAAAACTTGTTCTCTCAGGCTCCCTGAGTTGTGTTGATTTTAAAGACATTTTCAGTCCCCTTTGGAATTCCAGCTGTGGATGGGTGAACCATATCAAGAAAATCAAGCCATCTCTCACACATGGCCATGTGGACAAAAAGTAGGATTAAAGGAAAGAAAGAAAGAAAACAAAAACAAAATACAACAATCAGGATTTGATCCCCTGTGTATTAAAATTCCACCTACACACTAGTTTTTTTTCCAGAGCTTCAAGACTAATAAGCATACCAAAGTAGCAGTACCTGCATTCAGGCAACGACCACCCAGAGTGACTGGAACATTTCAAAGCAACATGGTAAATTAGGCCGGTGCGTTGTTTTTAACGCAGATACCTAATGAGGCTTATTAGGTTTTTCCATGTCTCTATTTTGAAAACCAATAGAGATTGACCAGGTAGATAATGCAATACCTTTTATTAAGCCAAGAAAGAAAGTGTAATACAGATGCCTCCAGGCCAAAATGTTCTTATGAAAGTTAAAGTGAAGCCAACTTCCAAGTTGTGAAATGGGAGGTACCTGCTGATCTCAACTCTAAAGAGAGAATTAGTCATCACTTCTCAAAGATGACTATAACAAGTCCCTAGGGGTGGCCAGGAAGGTGGCCTAGGCTGGGGAATATTCCTTGCAAAAAGTGTTTCAGCGTATCCAGTGAGAGAAACCCTGACAAGTTGTTGGAACGTGTCGGAATTTTTAACTGGTGGCCACAACAGTTCTTGACTTTGTATACCAGTAGCCCTCATTAGAACAAAGCTGCTTCGAATTAGGTCCAATCTACATGCTGAATCAATCTTTCATCCCTTTGATTGCTTCTGAAAATATTTATATTTCTTAATAATGCACATTTTGTCTTGCAACTTCTGATTAAACCCAGACTGGTGTTCCCAAAACAGGCAATGTATGTGGAATGGTGATTTGGGACAGGAAAAGAAAGATAAAAAAACACAGGTTTTTCCCATTGGAGAACGATTAGAGAGTATAAATCTAGCAATGTTGGTTATAGAAGCATCAGAAAAAGGTTGATAAGAAATACAGATTGGAATATGATTGTGACCTAATAGAGATTACAGAATATTCTTATTATTATGTGATTCTATATTGCAGTTTCAACCACTTGGCTGCTTAGCCTAATCAGTTCTATGAAAAATGGTTGCCGGAGAGACTTGGAGAAATGCCATTATTACAACCAAAAAAAAAAAAAATCCACACAAAGTATCAGCATAAAATACAGGGAGAGTTGTAATAGGAACATTATGATCTAAAGTATGTTTTGTGGAATAAGGAGCATAGCACAGGAGAGATGCTTTCAGAGGGTGGGGATTCCAGTTTGGGAAACCAAAGGAAAAGGTTCAGTTGCATCTGCACCACCAATTAGCTGGATGACCCCGAGAAAGTGCCCTGACCTCTCCAGACCTCCAGTTTTTCTTCTTGCTTTCATCTGGAAAATGAGGACGGGAAAGGCTTCCTTGTAAGTTTTCAATTCTGTGATTTTCTGAAGAATCCTCCTTCTGTAAGAATAGTCTGCCCTTCAAATCTGTGGGGTCTACATGTAGAAATTCAAACAATTATACATTAAAAATACTTTTTCTAAAGTTTGCCTCCAGGGGCAGGCATTTGGTGCAGCATTAAGAAGCTGCTTGGCATGCCTGCATTCCACAGGAGAGTGCCTAGGTGTGAGTCCAAGCTCCCCTTCCAATCCAGTTTCCTGCTAATTCCCACTCTGGGAGGCAGCAGATGTTGACTCAAGTTCTTGGGCCCCTAGTGCCCATGTGGGAGACCCAGATGCAGTTCCAGGCTCTTGATTTTGGCCGGGCCCAGGCCTAGCTGTTGTATGCATTTGAGAAGTGAACCAGGAGATAGAAGATCTTTCTGTATCTGTCTCTCTTTTCCTCTCGAATAAACAAACAAAAATTTTAAAAGTACTGCCAGTGTACTGAATATGCACAGATCTTTTTCTTGTCATTATTCCCCAAGCAACACAATACAAAGCATTTACATTGTATTAGATATTACAAGCCATCTAGAGATAAAGCATAGACCAAGATATGCATGGTTTCTACATAAACTCTATACCATTTTGTGAAAAGGATTTGAGCATCCACAGATGTTGTTATTCTTGGGGCCCTGAAACAAAACCCCTGAGGATACTGGGGGATAACTGTGGTCAGTGCTCTCTGGGGACAAGAAGAAGAATCTGGAGGTCACAGTGATGCAGAACGTCCCCAGTGCCCCTCTCTGAGAAATGGTAGCCATGCACTCTCACCATGCCTGCCTGTCGCTCATCCCCGCTTGTCCCGCAGAGCTGGCTGCTGCTTCTCTGCTCTTCCTTTCTTTCCTACACTTGATCTTAGCCAGGAGGCCAAGCAGTGATCCTCTTTCTTTCCTATTAGGGACGGTGAATGTAGGAGCACCCAAGAGCAAAGTCCATAGCATCATTCCGCCCAATCATGCCAGTTTATTGTACTTCATTTTAAGGCAAAGAGACATAGGTGGAAACAGAGATGGATCAAGAGAAGGAAAGAGAGAGACAGAGAAGGAGAGAGGGAGAGGGAGAGAGAGAGAGAGAGAACATGCTTCTATCTACTATTCTCTCACAAATGCCTACAACAGCCAGGACTGGGCCAGACTGAAGCCAGGAGCCAGGAACTCCAAGTACTTGGGCCATCGCCTGCTTCCTCCCAAAATGAACATCAACAGGAGGCTGGATCAGAAGCAGATGAGCCAGGACTTGAATCGACATACTCCAACAGAGGATGCAGGCATCACAAACCTTCTGCGCCACAGTAGCCACTCTCCAACCACGCCATTTTAGAGATGAGGAAAATAAAGACCAGGGAGTTTAAGGCTACCTTCATAGGAATTATTAAAGCTAAAATTTAAAACTAAGTCTCCTCCTTTGCAAACCAGGACCTATTTGGCCACACTGACTCTGAGTCATGGTCCAAAAATGAGAGGGATTTCTTGTGACTATTCAGCACAATTCGAGAGTCTTGTCCTTAGAAGCAGGCATGTACACCAGGGCCGTAGCTTTAACATCAGACTTCCTGGATTCGGATCAAATGTCCCCAACTTCATGGCAATGTGACTCTCAGGCAAGCCATTCATCTCTGTAAGCCTCATCTTGTTTTGTTTTCCTTTTCTTCTCTTGGATAACGGAAATAATAGCAGCACCTAACTCACAGTTGTATAGAGATTATAACACATGTAACTGTTGGTATGTGGTGAGCATTAGCTGTGATTAACCTCATCATCATCTGCCTTATTTATGTAATGATTTGAAAACAAAAATTTTGAAAGAACACAGAAGACACAGGTTCAAACTGTGAGTGTGTTCCTATGAGCTCCATGGCCTCAGATGACTCTCAGAGCCTCAGTTTGTTCATCAGCATAATGGGAATCCAAAATATCTGCCTGAGCAGGATTTCAGGAAAACTCAAATGAGATACATGTGAGAACACTTTTTAAGCAGGTAGAGCCCCATAAAAAGACAGTGCCTGAAGGTTTTATGGAAACATTACTATCCTTGAGTTGGAAAGCTCTGGCTGTTTAGTTGGTTAATTGACAACAAAAAGAGAAAATTCCTCTGTTTTGCTTTCCAAATAAATCAACTTAAAACTGAGATACATGAAGTGCCATAACTCGGTTTGCTAAAGAGCACGTTCTCAGTTATTACCGTCATGTATTTAATCCCAGTCTGCCCCACCTAAATGTGCAGTTATCTGATAACGTGATCTTACCAGAGCGCTAGGAAACCACTGGGTCGCAATTCAGAAGAGCAAGTCCACTCTTTCCTTCCGAGTAAAGGAGAGGAAAACCTAAAAGTAAAAAGCACACATTTTATGAAAGACTAAATTCCAAGAAGCCTTCATACCCTCATTAAAATACTGTCAATCGTTGCCATTTGAACAGCTGTCCATTGTCTGTGAACTTAAAAATACATTCATTACCGCACTATCATTCTACATAAGCCGAAACAGCATCCTGGCACGGGGAATTGTTTGGTGAGTGGGATTATTAAAGAGTTGGGGCCTAAAGGTGTGTGTCTATTTTAAAAAGAAATTTTCTGATTGCAGATAACTTCTCAATTTGATTTAGTGTCGAACGATAGTGATGGGGTTGATAAGTGAGCATTCATCAGTAATTCATCTTGTGCTGGGAGAAATTTACAGCAAAGCAGTGCTTTCCCAACAGTGACAGGCCCTATTCATCTTCTTCAGACACATTTCAATAGGTGTTCCCATCTGTGGCCAACATCTAAACACTGTGGCATCACTGGCGACTTGAAGACACCTTCATTTCAAGTTACACTAGTGAAAATGTGATACCAGATTGTACTCTATTTTTTAACCTAATTCTCTCTCTTCATTCAATTAGCCTTTCTTGCCTGGATTTTCTGCTCTTGTGTAACATTTCCCAGGGAGAGCTCTCAGCGATTTGGTTTCTTAGAGATGCACAATCTCCCCCAAGGTTAGCAACCAACAATTTCTTTCTTTTTTTTTTTTTTTTACAAATTAAAATTGCACCGATTCCCAGTTCTGACAGTCATCGATCGACTTGTGATTGTGAATGTCCTTAGAAGGTAGAACCTACACAAATGAAGCCTGCTGGTGCATTAAGAAAAAGAGGAGGGCTATAAAATCCATTTGTGTTAATATTTGAAATACAGTTTTGTATTCTGAGCTGTGATGTGTGTTTCAGTGTGAAGAATGCTGGGAAAAGGAGAAGCAGGTAGAACAGGGTGGAGAAATCAGCCCTGTGTACACATTTGCCCAACATACAGGGTCCCTAGGTTGAAAATCTTTTTTTTTTTCCTTTTGCATCCACTGGTGAACCTGCCTTTAGAGAGAGAAATAAAATAATCTCTTCAGGGATAGATTATGTCCGTTACATCACTCCGTTCTATCACGAATGTGCTTTTCCTGGCTGCAAGTTGAGTCTAGGTGAAGACTGTAAAGAGAGTGTTTGATTTTTTCCTTTTTTTTTTTTTTTGGATTGCACTAAAGTGCTTTTTGTACCATTTTCAATTTCATGATGGGTTTGATCTTGCAAAAAAAGTGGGTTGGAACAGCACTTTTCTTGTGCACTTTAGAAATCTTTCAAAAGAGAAAACTGACGGTCTCATTTTGGAAAGGTTAGATACATCTGCATCATGGTGGAATTGTTGAATTTCACTGAAATCTTTATCATATGTGATCCTGAAATATACAAATATATATATATATTTGCATGTGGTATGCACACATATACATAGTGTATTACTAATGTGTGTTCATATGATAAAGATATGCATTCTCAAAAATGTCTCCCTCTGTCACATAAACTATTTTTACAATGATCATTTGAGTTTGTTATGGATCTCAATAACCTTATTGTAGGTGGCAAGTTTCAATGTGCCATATTAATAACTTGTTATCCAAGACAAATTAAGTCCTTATGTGTCAGAAGCACTCGGCACTGGATTATCTACAAGACAAGTATTTATTGAATAAATGTTGAGTCCAATTTCATTTTAATGTGACTGACTCTATGTTTCAGCCTCTTAGGCAGAGATAAAAACACTCAGACCTAGAACTGTGTTGCAACATTACACCTAACTTGTCTATTTCTATTATTGTCTTTCTACATACAATATGGGAAGAAGGTTTTTTTTTTTTTCTTTTTTGGAGGAGGGGGGGTTGTTGTTCTGAAGAGCAAGGGGAGAGACAGAAAAACGGCTGGCATTCAGCCTAAAGAGAAATCATTGAAACAAATTAATCCTATGCCGTTTAAATTGACATGGTAATCCATCATCAGAGAAGGCAAACTCTGAAAGCAATCTAGAATCTGCCCTGCTCTTTCTCTGGCCCTGGAGGCACAAAGACAGATAGTAAAAGAAGGAGGGGGAATCATAAAAGTTAGGAATGCCTCAGAAAAGACTAAAATCGCTTGTATCAGCTCTCACTGTTCTGCTTCTGCAAGCCTCCGTTGGAAAGGAGAGGTTAACTTTCAACAGTTGCTTTCCCAAGTTTCCCTGTTTAGTGGTGGGACTGTGGTGTCCAGCTCCAAAAGTCTGCTGCCAGGCAAACCCCTGCCTGTCGCGTCTCAAAAGTTGACCAGCTGGGAACTTGGGCAGGACCCACTCTTACACAGAAACTTTCCCAGAGTGGTAAGGGGCTTCTTTGTGGGGGTCAGGATTGGGGTTTGGTGTTGGTTGGTTTTGATTGCTGCTGTTCTGGAGCTTTGCTTTTGGTTGGTTGGTTTGTTTTTTGTTTAGTTTTGGTTTGGTTTGGTTTTTGTTTGTTTTGTTTTGTTTTTCAATTTTTAGGTGGGGGAGGGTGGGAAGCAATCTTTTTCTTATTTTTTTGTCCTCCTGGAATCATCTCATTTTGTACTCCATGACACGGCATATTATGATAACTTTGAAAAGCAGGCTCTCGTGGCATCCCTAAAAATGAAGGTGAGCCCCCCTGCCCTGCCACGGTCTTCTTTCATCTTGGGGGTTTCTTTCTATAATCTCCCTTCACTTCAAAATGCCTGTGATGGTGGATTGTGAAAACTTGCTGTAAAATTCAAAAATGATCTAATATAAAACTGAAACATCACATCTTGGGGACAGTTGGGATGAGATAAAACCTTATTAAGGGTTCTGCTGTAAAACCAGTGTGCCTGTATTTCCAACACACTGCACCCTGAGAGTCAGCGTCTCCTTAGGTGATAGATGTGGTGTGCTCCTGTTTGTCCTTGGGGGAAGGGGGCATCTTGCAGGCATGCCCTCCTCACTGCTGCCTGAACACATACTTGGGGACACAGGAATGCATCTTGTTTTCCAATTCAGCTATACACTCAGCCTGTAAATGTTGAAAATACATTTTAATTTCAAAAACTCACTCTGTTAACAACAGACAGTGAGTGAAGACAAAAATCCAAAATAATAGGACCAAAGGCCAACAGCAGAAGGACATAAATATAAACTGCTATACCCAGCAGCTGCCCCATTTTAATTTATCTGGAATAGAGTTTCCTCCAGCTTATTCAGAAAACTTTATATATTGCTGAAACTTCAGAATAGACATCACACCTCTTTCCTAGAATTAGAATTTTTATGGTTTTTTAAAAGGGAGTGGATAATTCTTGCATACTGACTAATGCTTTTTAAAGCACGTAACCAGAAAAGACAAATGAAAGGCATTTCTAGGGCAAATAGGAAGAGAGAGTTAAAGGCTCTTCCATTAAATATTCATCCACAGCCATGCCAGTTGCAATTTTAAGAGTTGTTAGGAAAGAAGAACAGGTTGAGGTGTTTGCTTTTAATAGAACCTGGGGGATTGCAAGAGGAGCTCTTCAATAACTGAGCATTCAATTGCAGTTCCTGAAAAAGATCTGATGCTGTTGAATTTGTTTTCAGTTTATAGATGATGTGGACATTAGCAAAATAGCATATGATTTAAAAAGCCATTAAATTAACCAAAATCACATGAAAGAAAATCAATGAATCAGTAAGCATAAAAGTTTATCATTCAGAGGAGACTGTGAAGAAAAATATCCTTTGTAAACTTCCCTCTGTTTGGATTCTACAATACCAGCTTCTTTTCAATTATTTGGTAAGGTGGCAACAAGCACAAAAAATGTACAACCTATCCTTGGAAGCAAATATCTAAATTAACGTACATTCTGCAAAGACATAGCCTTCCCTAATCTTTTAGCCTGACATGTGATCTGATGTGGTCCTGTCAAGAAATGCCCAACATGACATTTCTCACTGAAGTCAATATTCCCTTGCTTTAATGTCTTCACTTCTGCTTTAACTATTTAAAGTGACATCATCTTAATCAATTCACCTCAGTCAAGTATATAGGAATCGCTTGGATAAGGTTGATTAACTTATAATAAATTGCACTAAGTGGATAGGAGAAGTACCTTTGTCTGCCCTGTATTCAAATGAAAAAGACCATTGTAAATTTCACTGAAACAATACACTTTGTAAACTCTCAAGCTAATGCTTCCTTTGATCAGGAAGCTGAATATGTTAGCAGCACACCTCCTCTTAATTTTGCACAGGATTTTTAACTTTAGTGTTTTTTTAAATCATGTGCCTTCCCATTTCAAGAAATTAACCTTTTAAGAGGAGAAAAGAAGTTGGTAATTTAGTTAATTAAGTCTTCCTAAATTTATACATAATGATTTTCTATTGTGGCAGCATGTCTGTGACCATCCAGTTACTCCCCTAATCATATGCTTTATGTTTTATTTAAAAAAAGCTTTCTGAAAACCAGTGGTACTGAAATTCCTTCTTAAATTATTTTTCTTCTTCTGAAATTTACCTTTAGTTTGTGGTTAAAATCAATTAAATCCAATAAATCCCCTTAGTTGTTCTGCTTGTATTTTCTTTAAGTACACTGATGCAGCTGATTAGCAATATTAATTTATCTGGAAATTTGCCTAAGACCTTCACATTTAAATGACTGGCACTTGATATCATTTGATTAATGCTTTTTTGACATACCAAAAATTAACTGTCCTCAAGATTTCATTACCACCGTCTTAAGAAAGAAAAAAAAAATAAGAAAGTCAACCATTCCCCTCTCTGTCCACTTCTAAATAGGACCTGATGTCCACATGGCTTTCGATCTCCTCAGAACTTTCTCACCAAGGAGTTGCTTTGCAATATAACATCAATATAAAAAGCGTGTGGAGCCCCCATCAGACCTGGCTAAATGGGCAGAGGACTCCCTGATGCCACCCTCTCCAGCTACAGCCTGTCATTCCTCAGTTCACCAATCTCCTGAAGAGGGAAATGCAGAAGTGTAGCCCTGAGCTTTTAAATAATAGTAGGAAA